GCTGTGGCTCAAGTGATAGAGCGCTAGCCTTGAGCTGAAGAGCTGAGGGACAGCGCCCAGGCCCAGAGTTCAGGCCCCATGACCAGACCCCCCCCCCAAAAAAAAAGAATCAGACTCATAGAAGATATTCCCACTTATCCATCTTTAACAATGTTTCAGTCAGCAACTGACCACATTGATAGGGGTCCTGTAGCATTGCAATGAAACTGCCAGGTTCCCATTGTCTGGCAGCAATGTAACCATGGTAATGTTGTAATATAATGTATCACTAATGTGTCTGTTTTTTGAAGCTGGATAAACAAACCTACTGAAATGCTAGTCATATAAAGCATAGCACATACAATTAATGTGTCTTATATAATACTTGATAATAAGTGATTGTTACCCATTTATGTATTTACATATGTGTACATATTTATAGGTATTTGTATACACACATATACACACATGTATGCTAAGTTTGAGTTCAGTGAGTTCTGCTTGCTAGGCAGGGGCCCAATTATTTGAGCCACAGTGCCCCAGCCTGCACTACATTTTTTGTTACTTTAGAATGTACCCCTTCTATTTACTAAGAAACTGTCAGGCAGAGCTGGGTGCCGGTGGCTCATGCCTGTAATCCTAGCTACTCAGGAGGCTGAAATGACAATTCAGTCAGCCCAGGGAGGAAAATCCATGAAACCACCAGAAAACCAGAAGTGGTGCTGTGGCTCAAGTGGTAGAACACTCACCTTGAGCTGAAAAGCGCAGGGACAGCACCCAAGCCCAGAGTTCAAGACCAATGACTGACAAAAAAGAAAGTGTGGGGCTGAGGAGTGACACCATGCCTCTGAAGGACTTCCAGTGGCACAAGTAAAAGAAGATAACAAAATCCTCTGTTCCTAAAATCAATTACCAAATGCTGATTCATTTTGTTTTTACAAATAGATACAAAAGCTGAATAAGAAATATATATGGCATAAGCCGGGCACCAGTGGCTCATGCCTGTAATCCTAGCTACTCAGGAGGCTGAGATCTGAGGAGCGTGGTTCAAAGCCAGCCCAAGCAGGAAAAGTATGTGAAACTCTTATCTCCAATAAAAACCACTAAAAAACCAGAAGTGGTGCTGTGGCTCAAGTGGTAGAGCGCTGGCCTTGAGCTGAAGAATGCAGGGACAGTGCCCAAGCCCAGAGTTCAAGCCCCACAACCGATCAAAATTTAAAAAAAAAAAAAATGTGTGTGTGTGTGTGTGTATACATACATATGGCTAAAAACTTAACATTGACCTTTCTTTTAGTTTTCCTAATTCTTTTTAACATTGACTCCTCTATACCCACCTTTTTCTAACCCTGACCCTGTGTAAGCCTAGGCTAATGTGTGCCTGTGACTTAATTTTTAATAAAAAAGTTCAAAAGATAAAGAAGTAGTGAAAAATTAGCGAGGCATCAGTGGCCTGTGCCTATAACCTAGTTATGCAGGAGGATAAGAGATCTAAGAACTGAGGTATGAAGCCAGCCCCCAAGGCAAATCCAAGAGACTCCTATCTCCAATTAATTAGCAAAAAGCTGGAAGAGGTAAAGCATTAGTCTTGAGCAGACAGGGATGGTGCTCATGACTCAGCCATGTCAGGATAAGTTCAACCACCAAGCCTGGCCAAAAAAAAAAAAGGTGCAAGGCCCTGACTGCAAGCCCTAGTGCTGACAGAAAACAACAACAACAATAAAAAAAAGTAATGAAAAATTAAAAAGAAAAAGAAAAAATTTATACCATATAGCTTAGCTGTACTGTAGGTGATGCCACCAAGTTTGTGTCCATGTACTCTGATCATACATCCCAAGAAATGGGAGCACATTTATCACTAAAAGATGCATGAAGGTGGACACTGGTGACTCACACCTATAATCCTAGCTACTCAGGAGTCTGAGATCTGAGGATTGTGGTTCAAAGCCAGCCTAGGCAGATTGTATGTGTGTGTGCGTGTGTGTGTACGTGTGTGTGTGTGTGATTTGTGGGGCCTAAACTCTGGGCCTGGGTGCTATCCCTTAGCTCTTCAGCTCAAGGTTAGTGGTCTACTACTTTGAGCCACAGCACCACTTCTGGCTTTTTCTGTTTTATGTGGTGCTGGGGAATCAAACCCAGGGCCTCACTCATGCAAGGTAAGCACTCTACCACTGAGCCACCTTCCCAGCCCTTCGTGGGACCCTTATCCTGAATTAACAACCAGAAAAATGGAAGTCGTACTATGGCTCAAGTGGTAGAGCGTTAGCCTTGAGCCGAAGAGCTGAGGGACTGTGCCCAGGACCAGAGTTCAAGCCCCACAACAGAACAAAAAAAAAAGATGCATGACTAGGTATATATTTTTTAATATATATATATATATATATATATATATATATATACATACATATATATGTAATTTTTTTTGCCAGGTGCCAGTGGCTCACACCTGTAATCCTAGCTACTCAGGAGGCTGAGAACTGAGGATTGAGGTTCAAAGCCAATCAGGGCAAGAAAGTCCATGAGACTCTTACCTCTAATTAACCATCAGAAAACCAGAAGTAGCACTGTGGCTCAAGTGATAGAGTGCTAGCCTTGAGCTGAAGAGCTGAGGGACAGCACCGAGGCCCAGAGTTCAAGCCCCACAACCAAAAAAAAAAAAAAAGTAAAATTGTTTTTTTGCCAATCCTGAGGCTTGAATTCAGGGCCTGGGGCACTGTCCCTGAATTTCTTTTGTTCAAGACTAGCACTCTACCACTTGAGTCACAGTGCCACTTCCAGATTTTTCTGTTTATGTGGTACTGAGGAATCAAACTCGGGGCTCCATGCCTGCGAGGCAAACACCTCTTCCACTGAGCCACCTTCCCAGCCCTGACTAGGTATATTTATACTTACAAAAATGTTATTTATGTAAATGGAGTTTGTTATAAGGAATTGACAAACATATTTTAAGTAAGTACATGTAAGCTTTCTTGCTCTCAATAGTCACTGCCGTGTGTGGGGAAGTCAGAGCTGAGAATGCAAAAGGCACAAAAGTGAGAGTCCAGTGCGAAGAATTAGGTGGAGAGGAATATCATGAGGGCAATGAATCTTTCCAGGATGAGGTGAGTAAGGGAACAGGAGGTGTCATGGATGGAAGAAAATGTACCTGGAGAGGTGACAGGGGCTCCGGTGGTAGCCTGGGGGACCGTAGGGCTGCTGTCATTCTGCACCTGAAGGCACAGATTACACACTAAGATCCTGTTCCCCACCACACCTGCCCCGACCACTTTCTCTACCTTCAGGCTAGGAGACTCACCACTTTGTTGGGTGCCTGCTGGTTGCTATACTCTGGATTGGGCTCACTGAAGTTAGGAACTTCAGAATAAACCATACAGAATCTGCAAAGGGAGAAAACCAAAGTCTTGGACTTATACTCTGGACCATTGCTGGAGGCCTCAGAAAAATCCAGACACAGGGCATGATCTACACACCCTTATGTTGCCCCCAAGCAAATCTAACCCCCCCC